CGCGTACACCAAAGTATAGTTCATTTGTTCTAAAATTAACGCGATGTTATTAGGCTTGAACGACAATACACGATAAAGGATTTCAGTATAGTACATAACAGCTACTTGGCGGTGGCTTTAAGTCTACTTTTAACTCTCGCGAGACGTTAGAAGTTTCTTCCTGATTCACTACATTAGTCAGCTCTATTGATTGCTCGAGGAGGTTTCTTTTTTGATAGCTATCATTTAAAGTTTTTTGTTGTTTTTCTGCTTCTCTTCAATGTTCAATAATCGGAAGATGAAGTTGTCATGAAAGCCCCCCAATTAACGTTGAAGCTTAAATCACGTGTTTATCTTTACCTAAATGGACCTCTTAAAAACCCCTAAGGACGAAGCTAAGATATCAAGGTGTATTGTACACCAGTGCTCCCTCCAATTTTTTAATCCATGTGCGGAATGAATTTTTTCATGTGCACCAGTATCAAGGCAATGTGCGGATTTTTAGACCGTAAAGCCTATTGAATCATTAGGCCACTTTGCAATGCTACCAGTTGGTTATTTGGACATTAGGCCTATCGGATGTCAGGGTCATTAAGGTCATAAACGTGTTGAGACTCCTCATCATTATTGATGATGTGCGCGGCATTTGATTGGTTGTTGTGCGGCCGCGCAGCTTAGAGGGAACACTCTCTCAGTTCCTTAAGTTCTTTAGATATAGCCTGACTCATCAAACCTAAGACAGCGAAGATAGTCACTGATGAAACAATTAATTTTGATATTTATAAGTAAGAACATTATATACTTAATTAACTGTGTTCGTTACCGATGATTTTTAGTTTTGACCAAAGTTGGGTACCTTGTTCTAATCGGTAGTTAATATTGATTGAGACTCAGTAGATTTTGTAGGTATATCATTTAGGTGGCGTTTCATGATAATATTCAATATAGTTGCGGTTGTTTCGAGTGGAACAACTTTCAAAAATCGTAACATAATTTTTTGTTTTTCCCAATCTTAACTTGTTTTATTTTTGGAGATGTACAGGTTAATCAAAAGTGGTGTGAAAGTCTAAATTTCTTCACGATATACTCTTGTATGTACCCTGACGTGATAAAGTTTGTTGTCAAAGGAGAAGTTGCCTAACTTCTATATTGCGCACCTGTGATGTCGGATTAACATGGCTGACTCTGGTTCTGTATGCGAACAAGCGAAATAATCCCAGCTGCAAAAAATGTAACATAATAACATAATAACCTTATGCTGTTCAGTCTTGTCCATTTGTTCGGGCCCGGCACGGCCAGGTGGTTAGGGTGCTTGACTATCAATCTGAGGGTCGCGGGATCGAAACCCCGTCCTACCAAATATGCTCGCCCTTTCAGCCGTGTGGACGTTATAATGTGGAGGTCAATCCTACTATTCGTTAATAAAAGAGTAGCCCAAGAGTTGGCTTGGCAGTGAGTGGTAATGACTAGCTGCCTTCTCTGTAGTCTTTCACTGCTAAGTTAGGGACGGCTAGTGCAGGTAGCCATCGTGTGACCATTTGTTCGTTTCATAATTCCAGCTACACAAAGGACTGTCTGCACATAGCCGTCCCTAATTTTGAACTGTAAGACTAGAGAAAAAGAAGCTAGTCAACAGCACTAACCACAAATGTTTGGGCTACTGTAGTCGAATAGTGGGATTTGATTGTTACTTTTATATGGCAAATGCGGCCTCAAAGAGCGGATCGCGTTTTTTATAACAACGAGCCACGAACCATAAATCCTCGAATTCATAGGTCACAATCTACCCATTACCCATTTAGAAGCGGGGGGGGGTGCCTCTTAACCTAGCAATACAATTCGCAAGTTTATAACAGGCCTACAATCAAACAAAGAAGGACAGGCCTGTTAAAATCAATGATTAAAAGTCATTATCATATTTAGTATTCAAGGAGTATCTCATGGAAATAGAACAAAAAAAAGGCTTTTTTTTCGGGGCATCCATTTCATGTCAGTAAGATCAATTGAAACAAAATGGTGGAACTTACATTTTGTCCGGTTTCATTGTTGTTAAGCGCAAATCCCAACAATAGGCTATTTGTGTTGTGCCCACCGCGAATAGCAAAACCCGATTTTTAGCATTATAAGCCCTCATACTTGTCGCTGAGGAGGGGTATTTTGTCCTGAGAGGGTGCTGTTGTGTATAAATAATAATAAAGTTCTACGTATGCACATAAGATGATTTTAAAAAAAGTTATTTATGTATGCTTGACTACTCTTATTATAAGAGAATTTCGTGTAAAATATGATTCTATTTGAGTATTCTTACTTTTTTACAATAATATTTTTACTTTTTACAGTAATATTTTTACTTTTTTACGGTAATATTTTTACTTTTTTACAATAATATTTTCACTTTTCTACAGTATTATTTATGGGGGAAAAAATCAAAACATTTAATTAAAAGTACCAGAATTTCTTCATCGTTTGCCATAACACTAAATCAGTAGTTCCCAACCTGGGGTCCCCGGACCCCTGGGGGTACACGTAGGCAATACTATCTCATTAAACAAGTAAGTTTTTTAATACTGAT